CGGGGGTCCCTCAGCGCTGAGGGGGGCCCGGAGCGCGGGGTTGAGGGGGCGGTCACTCACCTGGCGGGTCCCGGGGGCGGTGCCGGGGGGTCCCGGGGCCGTTCCGAAGCCCCGCTCGGCCGGGCCGGGGCCGGGCCGGACGCGCCGCCCCCCGCCGGAAGCGGAAACGGAAGTGACGTAAAGGTCATGTGCGGAAGGCCCGGCCTCCCGTCCCGCTTCTTTTTTTCCATTCGCGGCGGGTCCGGAGCCTCTCCCGGGCACAGCGAGACCTCCCCTCCCTCCGTTAAACCGGGCGGGCTCCGGGACCCCCGAACGGCCCCGGGAGAGGCGGAGTGCTGAGGCGGGAGGGCCTTGCCCACACCAAAGATGGCGCCAACGCCGCCACCCCGCCAAGATGGCGACATGAGATAAGATGGCGGCCGCTGCCCTCAGCAAAGATGGTGCCGGGGACCAAAAAAAGGCTCCGAAAAAGGCACAGGGAAGGCGATGAGGGGCGAAGTGAGAGGGGGAAAGTGAAGACTCATAACCGGTCAAGGACGCGGGACCGAGCCTGGCCACGCCTCCCGGGGGTCCCCAGGGAAGGGGGGCGTATTTGGGGAAGGGTCGGGAAGGTCTGTGACGTCACTGAGGCTGCGGGCGCTCCCACACGACCGAGGGGGGGTCGGTCGTCCCCCCTCCCGACCCTATTTCCCGGTGCGGTCCCTTTAAGAGCGGGCGGCTCCTTTAAGAGCGCCGGCACGTGCGGCCCCACGTGCTCGCGGCCCCTCCGGCTTTGGCCGCTCCCCATTGGCCGAAACTGGGTCAGGCCCCGCCCGCCGCGCGCGTCCCCATTGGCCCAATGTAGGTCAGGCCACGCCCCCCGCATGGCAGCGCCGCCTGACCGCGGCCACGCCCCCCGCGAGCCCATTGGCTGAGCCGAGAGCCAGGGGCGGGGCCGCAGGGAAAGGGGCGGGGGTTGGTTCCTGCTCGTGCAGGGGCGGGGTTTGATTGGCTGCGGGGGCGTGGCCTGGCGCCGATCCGGCCAATGGGAGGCGCGCAGCGTGCGCCGAGGGGGCGGGGTTTATTTTGGGGTGGGCGGTGTTAGCGCAGGGAACGGGCGGGGATTGGCTGAGATCGAGGGGAGGCGGGGCCAGGATCGGCCACGCCCCCTCACGGGAGCAGAGCCCCCCGCGGGGCTCGGGCCGAGGGCACCGGGAACAGGGGGGGGACCGGAACCGGGACCGGAACCGGGACAGCGGGACCGGAACCGGGACTGCGGGTCTGGGGGGGGACAGCCGGACCGAGACCCACCCGGGAGCAGGGGGGGACCGGAACCGGCACCGGGACCCTCCCGGGAGCAGGTGCGGACCAGAAGCGGGACACCGGGACCGGAACCGGCACCGGACAGTGAGGGGGACACCGGCACCGGGACACCGGGGTGAGTGGAGGACACCGGGACAGGGAGAGCGGGTCTGGGGGGGACACCGGGACCGGGACACCGGGACCGGGACACCGGGAATGGGGGGGG